GGTCAACCCTACGTTGCTACAGGTAACAACGGGGGGGGGGGGTCGTAGTTTGTTGAAGTTTGTGGTGGGGTGGTCGTACTTGTTTCGGTAGCGCGAAATCTACATGGGATGAGAATTTTTTCGGTTTCATGGTATGTTAACCCCCCCCCCCCCTCCCCGCTCGACGGTGTTTTTTGAGGGAAAAAGTGGCTGTGAAGAGGGGGTCGTATGAAACTTCTCGTGAAGGAGGGGTCGTAAAAATTTTGCAAAAAGTACCAACGATAGGACCGACCCTGCTGCCAACGCAGTTTGAGCACCGGAACTCCAAGCTTCGACTTACTGTGATGAGGTCTACTATTCTCTACCTTGCTGCTTCATTAGCGATATGTGAGGAACATTGGGAATAACCTTGCTGGTAATATTTATCAGGGAGACCCGGGTAACCAAGAAATACTTCCAACAACTTTGAATTGTGACCTGGGTATATCGACAAAGCTTTAAAAGCGATAAAAATGTGCTGATGAAATTGTTGCGGGAACCTGCCAAGGAATTTATGGATGGTCGTCATTGTTGTGAAGACTACGTTGGTATAATGATTTTTGGTGAAAGCTTCCTTTTCAAGGGATACCAACGGCCCCGATTACGGATATGACATCTATTCTAGAACGGCGCCGTCCGGCACTAATTTGGAAGCGCCCACCGGGAATGCAAAAATTTTGTCGTCATGGGAAATCGAGCCCTAGACCAACTTATTGCTCCCAGCTTCCTGGCAAGTTTGCGTAGTAATTTTGGGCTTCATATTTGTAACCAGCATCCCGAGCTCTACCGATTTCCCTAGATCTTAATTCAAATCCCACGAGTAGTGAAAAGCCTCTCCTGGTGAAGCAGTGTTGTTTTTACCCATGCCGTCGCTATAAAACTTTCGAGGTCACATAAACATTTATGTGAAAGGTATCCTGGAGAAGGACTTCTTCAGGCTCGTGCTGGGCTGTTTCGTCGGCTGCCGCCATTTCGGATCGCCTTTGCATTGCAACCAATGGATCCGTTAAGGTAAATTAATATTACAACTCAAGAAAATCGGCGTCATTTAACTCATGAAGTGGATTTTAGGTACAGATATCGGCCGACGACATTATGACATGCTGCTTAGATTGTGGTCGCGGGTAAGATTCCATGTCAATTCGAGTCTCAAAATGGGGAGCCGCTCACTGTTTCTAATAGGTGATGTTTGAACGCTGAACTGTGCCTGACGCCCACCCTCCCCTCATTCTCACCCCAATGTAAGAGCGGCAGTAGTGCAAGACCTCAATGCAAACCGGAGCAAGAAGTTTGCTGGTCAAATCTATGAAAATGTGGAAATACAATAGCTGCTACTATCAGCAGTGAGCCTTCCATTGTAGACTGTTTTCATTCTAGCCCAGGACTTTGAAGGTATACTTCTTGACTTCTTAGGGGCTGATTATTGCACTCAAAAAGTCACAGACGAAATGTATGTAATGATCGCATTCCTTGACGCGACCAATAGGGGCTAAGGGCGGTGGCGAAAATCCGATTAGGTGAAAAAATGTCTTAATCTAATCTCCGAGAATCATGCCAGCACGTGAAACGCAACATAACGTTCTCGTACCCTTTTTCGATAACGGTCCAAAAAGGCGCAAATACATGTGGGGTCATGGCACGCGATTCTTTTAGAAATTGTGGCGAGAAGGGTAATTGGACGCGAAAGATATGTATGCTAAGTGGGAATAGACTTACCTGCTGCCCCTGTGTGCACGAGAAGCGCGGGGGGGGGAAAATTTGTGAGCCAGGAGGTGGCGGTGGCTAGCCCTGTACCTTCCCGCTCTATATTACAAACTATGGCCAACAATCTCGGAGAAGCTTGTGAAATATTCCAGAGGTTCTACCGTTTTTTTCACTCGCTTCGACGATAAATAAAAAAGGAGTGGCTTTCGTTTCACCCTTTTTCGTCGAGGACCAGATGCCACAGAGGGAGTAACTCCTTCAGAAGCATGTCTCGAGAGCGGCTTTTTGAAGAGAGGTTGGTTCCACTGGCTCAGGGGTGGATCAATGAGTTTGATACGTGAATGAACGGAAGAATGGTCAAGATATTATGAAGCCAAATAGAGAAAGGTACAGCTAAAACTCACGGAAGGGTACGGTGCTGGTACCGAGTATGCACATCCAAAAATGAAAAATCAGACGTAACGGCTTGTTATAGTCAATCAAGTTCTATGCTATGTCAACGCTTGGTTCTAGAACACGAATCGTGGGCCGGGCGAGTCTGGCGCAAGTAAAGTGATTCATTTCCAGCCGACTCATTCCACATGTTAATAAGGCAAACACTGTCCCGGGAAGTGCCCACCAACATACTCATTAAGGCCGCCCAGTCCCGCCATTACATCTTTAATATTTTTCCATCGGATTTTTACCTTTGACAACTTCCTACGAACATGAAGCATAAAACACGACATAGTTGTCCACTGAAGTTCATTTGGTGATTAGCTGTCGACGAGTTGTGGGGTGGGGGGGGGGCTTGGTGACCGCGACACGCCGAAAAAGTAGGCGATCCATATGAAACAAATCGCTTTCAAGCTGTAGTTGCCACGCTTTGGTAGAGCATCTTCTCACACGCGAATTCTTTTGTCCATTGTTCCAGATGTCATGGAGGCTGGCCGGTGTACGCTTTTGATTACTTTTCAACAGATGGTGCTGTCACGGGAGGTAATTATGGTTCCAAGGTAAGTTCAAGAAATTTCTGATGACTGTTCTGCACAAACCCTTCCAGGTCGACTGTTGGCAGGACTGCTGCCGTCCTTACGAGATTCCCTTGTGGATGGCACAGGGGCGAGCCGTACTACGACTGCGAAGCCGCTTATAAAGGAACATCCGCCCGAGGCGGTGAGAACGCTTGCTATAACCATGTTACAAGAAGAACTACGCGGCGGACAAATATTACGGTAAGCGTCTATTCAACATGGAACAAAGCTTGCCAATGCCGATTTTGCGCAGAAGATTCAATAGGAACCCGGTCAAAGACAGAAGCACCCGCTCTCTGTTCAGAACGAGAGCCCGAAATCCTTCTCACTACACGCGTACATTGTTTAACTTTCATTGCATTGGCATTCTGCCATTCGAAGGCGGGAGGTGCGCTGAAACTTCGAGAGAAGGTTCCTGTGGAAATCCACAGATGAAAGCACAGATGCCAAGAGGAGTCCTCTAGTGGATGCCGTGGACGGTGTCCGCTCGTATCCCAGAAAACTCCATCGAGAGCGCTAAATAGATCAGATCAATTTCGGCCCAGTACTGGAAGCGGCTTCCACCCATCGATTAGCTCATGGGCTATTTTTCCGGCATCTAGGCTGAGGTTTGTGCAATAATTGATTTTCCGTCCCATTGTTTAGCTACGTTGTTAAACAATTTGGCGCTATCGCAATATACGGGGCCATCCCTTAGGATTAGAACTGGGCTTAAGAGGGAGCAGGAACATCGGAGAAAATTAAATTCGCTCACGAACCCTGGATTCCTCACTCACCACTTCCAAAAGCTTAGTTCATGACAAAAAAGATGTCTAACGCGGTTTTGTATCCGTGGTTGAAGCAATGCCCCCGTATTTTGCGATAGCGCCCAAAGTTTTGACTAATCGAATTCAAGGCTCAATAAAAGTCACATTTAGGCAGATCAGCCTATGACGTGCCGTTTTCGGTTCAGGCTATCCAGAGGGAAATCATGAAGAATGGACCTGTCGTAGCAACATACACCGTTTATCAGGACTTCGTACATTATAAAAGAGGAATTTATAAGGTAGGGTTTTTTGCACGACAAATCAGAATGCATATTAAAGGAATTAACAAGAGATACGTATAGTCCACCGCAACAGCCGATTTGGCGCATGAGTAGAAGTTTACCCCTACCTGTCGCCCCACTTCTTGGTAATGGCGGGCTTGCCATCTATTGACAAGTATGGCGCAAAAGTATCATCCTCCAGGCCGACCCCTAGCACAGCCTACGTGCTCCCTTTCTTCTAAACGACAGCCGTCTCCTTCTGCAGACCCTCGTCACGGGGAAAAGGAGTGAGCGGGGGCATTGGATGGGGTAGCGAGAACATCTACAGTCGTCGTAAAGCCGGACCGCCATTATGTGAGGTGCTATGATTCTTCTCGTAGCCCAAACACAGCATAGCGGGTAGAAGCAGCTCCCTATCCGTTGCCTTTTTCTGCTGAACTCAGTCCAGGACTGCACATAAAGTAACATCGTTGGGTAGAAAACACAATGACCTACCGCTCATCGACCGAAGGAGCCAATTTGTAGCTGATCATCCGCCTTTCCGACAGCGTTCAACAGTT